TTAATAAAAATATCCAAATGTTGGAGAATATTTGTCTTTATTTTCACCCGAAATTAAATCAACCAAACAAACTTTTGAACAGCTCATGATCAGACATAATAGACATTCATTGTCTGTTATATTTAACAATGTATCTTTAAATTTTTATATATATATATATATATATATATATATATATATTAAGAAATGGACAAGGTCCGACAATTTATTTATTAAAGACATATTTTTATGTTTAACGTTGTTATTTCATAGATACAAGTATTTAAGCAAATGCTCTGTTTATGATAAACAGTATTAAATAACATTTACCGGCCTGAATGTCCGAGAAATTTTCATAGAAAATTTTCGTTCTTTGACAGGATTCGAACCTGCATCCTATACGGAACCGTCATATATCTGACGTGCCTTACTGCTTAAGCTACAAAGAACCAATCGGTAGACAAGGTCGAATTTACTGCTTATAAACTCAATTTTCCATGAATCTCGTACATTCATAACTGCTCTGGCGTATCGAATGTAAACAAATGAAAAAATATATTAATAAATGGACAAGGTCCGACAATTTATTTATTAAAGACATATTTTTTATGTTTAACGTTGTTATTTCATAGATACAAGTATTTAAGCAAATGCTCTGTTTATGATAAACAGTATTAAATAACATTTTTGAATGTCCGAGAAATTTTCATAGAAAATTTTCGTTCTTTGACAGGATTCGAACCTGCATCCTATACGGAACCGTATGAATGTACGAGATTCATGGAAAATTGGAGTTTATAAGCAGTAAATTCGACCTTGTCTACCGATTGGTTCTTTGTAGCTTAAGCGGTAAGGCACGTCAGCCGGTAAATGTTATTTAATACTGTTTATCATAAACAGAGCATTTGCTTAAATACTTGTATCTATGAAATAACAACGTTAAACATAAAAATATGTCTTTAATAAATAAATTGTCGGACCTTGTCCATTTCTTAATATATGACGTCATTTGTTTACATTCGATACGCCAGAGCAGTTATGAATGTACGAGATTCATGGAAAATTTGGAGTTTATAAGCAGTAAATTCGACCTTGTCTACCGATTGGTTCTTTGTAGCTTAAGCGGTAAGGCACGTCAGCGTATATGACGGTTCCGTATAGGATGCAGGTTCGAATCATGTCAAAGAACGAAAATTTTATATGAAAATTTCTCGGGCATTCAGGCCGGTAAATGTTATTTAATACTGTTTATCATAAACAGAGCATTTGCTTAAATACTTGTATCTATGAAATAACAACGTTAAACATAAAAATATGTCTTTAATATATATATATATATATATAACTTACGCTGGAATTGAATTCTATTCGTTCTCATTTCACGCACACACACACACACACATATATATATATATATATATATGATTAGAAATTATTAATCTTGAATATGTATTTATATCTTTACGCGTATTGAGATTTCTGTTTTGTGAAGGCTTGTGTATATTTACACACTGCTATGCGCACTTATGTACACATGTGTATTTATATACACTTATGTACACATGTGTATTTATATATGTATACGCATTTCCTCTCAGTGTTTCCTTTATTTTTATGTTATTTAATGCGTCGCCTTTTTTTGTTAACAATAAATTTCCAAATTTTTATCCATTTTTTGTTGCTTTTCTTTTTTTTCTAATCATTTTATTTAATAATTATTTATTCCAATTTTCCTTCTCATTTTTATTATCACATATTCTAACCACAGTCCATCTTTCTACTTTCCTAACTTAAGACTTTTCTCTCAGTGATTCATTTTCTGTCATATGGTTCATAAATAATATTTAATAAATGTTTATCGAACTGATTATATTGGTACACATTTCTTTGCCCTTGTTTTAATAACAGAGATATCTATTTATGAAATGGAAAAAATCCGACAATTATTTTTTAAGACATTTTTTATGTTTATACATTCTTTTTATAGATACAACTATTTAATTGAATGCTCTGTTTATAATAAACAGTATTAAACAACATTTACCAGTCTGAATTTCCGAGAAATTTTCATTGAAAATATGCGTCCTCCGACAAGAATCGAACCTGTATCCTATGCAGGACCCGCATATTTTTTACCGACTGAGCGGTTAACAAAGTCGATTTTACTGTTTTTAAACATACAAGTCTCCATGAATTTCTATTGGACATTCATATCTGTTCGATGCGTATCCAAATGTAAACAAATGACGTCACACATTATGAAATAAACAAAGTCCAACAATTATTTTTAAAACATTTTTTATGTTTATTATAAACAGAGCATTTACTTAAATATTTGTATCTATAAAAAGAACGTATAAACAAAAATGTCTTAAAATATCTATTTATCTATCAATATATATATATATATATATATATATATATATATATTATAATAGATATTTATCTATCAATATATATATATATATATATATATATATATATATATATATTGATAGATAAATAGATAAGGAGAGAGTGTGTATGTGCACCTGTGTCTGTGCCTGCTTTTATATAAGTTTGCTTTTATATAATTGCTTAAAATCTGTAGAAATATTTCTGTTGATAATTTTTCTCTTTTTAAGATTTTTTTCTTTTCGTTTAATATTGGAGATATATTTCCCTATATTTTTCTTGCCAGTTCTTTCAACAACTTTGGTCATCTTCAGGGATTTAGTCTCTTTTCAATATGAGTAGGTGTTACTTTCTCCGTCGTATTATTTTCATACTCAGCCACATACAGTAAACACACCTATGGGTGAATGTATGAGTACATGTAGGTGGGTGGCTGGGTACAAAGATAAATTCGTATTAGTGCTTTGCATTAAGTGGGATTCGCTCGTATCAGCCGAAGTCATTTTTTAGTGCTTGTCGACAAAGGTATATTATTTTACATTCCCCGTGGTTTTTACTTAAATTCCAACAACTCTCTTTGTTACTATAGAATCCAGACATAAAGCCTTTTGAGAGAATTCAAAGATTGGAAGTCAATATAGAATACTTGTAAGTACGCCTACACACATAGACCTAATTTATCATATTTTTCAAAAGAATTACTGACTTGACATTTAAGCTTCCCAATAAACAATCAACAAGTTGCGTTTATCTGCGTTATTCTTGGCTGAATTTGTTTATGGTCGGCTCCATTAGTAGCAAAGTGTTTTCCTCCATCTTACAAACCAAACCGTCATCCCTCTTAATGGAGTAAATAATTTCTTGTATATTCTTATACGTGAAGGAATAAAACACTCATCAGTTAAGAGTATCGTAATTAGTAATTAACTCAATCTGTAAAATTCCCATAAAATTAGAGAACAAATGAATAATACCCCTATGTTTGAAGAACCAATAATAGCCTTTCAACGATCATTTCTTGATTTAATCCTTTTAATATAATAACATTTTCATGTGTAGTGATTCCAAGTGCAATGCTAGTTTAGACTGCAATTCTTTTAAAATTAAAATTACAAATAAATAGAATAGGAATTAATGCTAACATGCAACATATAACATCTACAGCAGAGAAGTAATTTTCATATTCTGTAAACTACAAGGTATCGAGGTTGTTTCTTAAAATGTAATTGCAACATTGAATTGTAATTAAACCGGAACATTATCTAAAATCTTTCAAACGTTTAACAATTCGAGCTATCATTTTTCTTCAAGAAAACTTTATCACCACGCTTTATAAAAACAACAATAAGAACAACAACAAAAGAAGAAGAAGAACAAGATCAACAACAATATATAAAGGTTTTTAAATGAGAGTGAACCTTTAAAAAAAACGAAGGAAGCAGTTTTGTCAACTCAGCTATGACACAATTCGGAAAATACTAATATGACAGATAAAATAAAAGAATCTCTATTTTAAGAAATAAACACAGATATTATAGAAAAATTAATGAGCCTGTCCGGCAAATAACAATTAAAGAAAGAAACGAAATCCCTATAAATAGCAGTTATAATCAACGATGTACTTATTCATACACACATCAATTTTGAATAGTTTTATCCATTTCTCAGAACCTCAAGTCAACGCTAATCTCCTTTGTTTTCCCCATCGTGTTGTTAGCGTAAGAGTAACAATGGCGACACACTATGCACTGCGTGATGTTGTTTCCTGGAATTATCACAAATATTCTACTGAATAAATAGTCTAGAAGGCTTCACCGATAAAATAATTATGCAAATTACTTATACTTACACGAATCAATAAATTTAAAACTATTATCTACTGTACGAATAATTTGTATTTTGCATAATTCGCCTGTCAAATTTGTTGTATTTAACCTACATGGTGTCCATAAAGTCTGTGTGCACTTTAAAAATTTATAACTTTATTTGTATTTGTGATAGAAATAATTTGTAAAAAGGATTAGAAAGAAGTAAATCTATATTATTTTAAGGTTTTATTGAAATTCTATTTAAGTTTCCACATGTCCTCCATCATTAGCAATACAAAGGGTAATACGATTTTGCAGTTCACGGAAATCATTTGCCAACTGATTTACAGTAATACCTGAAATCACATTAGGTATTTTAGCTATACTTAAAGCTATGTACATTAAACTTTATAACATTTTTTTACAGATTATTTCTATGGCAAATAAAAATAAAGTTATAAATTTTTTAAAGTGCACACGAACTTTATGGACACCCTGTATTGTTCCGAAAATTGAGTTTTCTATTCCATTTTTATGCTTGTTAAGGCATTAAAAACCTGCCATTATACGGGCATTAGATTCAGATAAATGGATAAAATATTCAAAATTGATGGGTGTACGAAGAATTTCATCGTTGACAGGATGTGTAATTTAACAAACTATATTACGGTCACGATAAATACAACAATAGAATATTAAATGTCGCTTCTGTAGGGACAAAACTCGTTAATAACCTACAAAAAGATGAAATGAAATAAAATGCAGATGGTTAGATGATGAACAATGCTTCGTTATGATAATTTATTGATGCTGTTTCAGTTCTCTCTCTCTCTCTCTCTCTCTCTCTCTCTCTCTCTCTCTCTCTTCTCCGTCCCACCGTCTTTCTGCTTTTTATTAACGATCTGACAAACAAAATCCTCAGACTATTTGGAAACATCTATGCAGCTGATAGCATAGATTATTGTAGCACTATCAAAAGCCAAGATGTTAGGCGTATGATCTCTCTTTGGGCCAGTTGCTGACAGTTCAATAAGAAAACCTGGCTTATAAGTTTGAATACCCCAACGGATAAGCCAGTATTATCACCAATCAAACCCCGATTTTTCTCTGGTCATCATGAACGGTTCCACTCTCGACGGTGATCCATATTTTAAACGTCTGTCGGGTCTCACGTTCACCCCAGACCTCAATATCCATTGCGAAAGATACTGAGAAGAGGAACTGATATACGGCCCCAGAAAGTACCTGACGTCTTCCTGTTTTATTTATCAGAATCAGGTTAGACAGGATTATAGCTGCTATATCTATACTGGGGCTTCCCAATTCTTAATTTGCAGCCTTGTGTCAAAATTCTTTTACGGGACGTTGGACATATTTTCCACATAGCAGCCTCTTTCTAAGCCTATTCTATCGCTATTTCCATGGCAATTGTTTAAATGAGCTCTATTCTTTAGTTTTTCAACAGTTCAAATAGCACTCGCTGACCGGGACCGAATCAGCCTTATTTCGTCAAACTTCCAAATATAAAGAGAAAGTTCCACACACAGATTTTTGCCAAGACCTGCTATTCTGTGGAACATACTCCTGAGTGGATGCTTCCCTGAACGTAGTAAACTTATGCTTGTCTTTTTTGTTGTTGTTGTTGTTTAATCTTGTTATTCTCATAATCCTCACTTCCTACTACAGGGTGTTATGTTCTTATCGCACACCTTGAGGGCATCTCGAACCTCCTATTGACGAAGTCTTACATAAAAAAGGTTTTCTGCTTTTGGGGGGTTTGCTTTGCTTTTCGAACTTCCTACTGCTGTTAACTGATTGACAACAACGTTTTTAACAAATTCCAATGCTGATGCCGACATCTTCCATAAGAGCTGGGAAATCATCAGTTCCAGATGTTTTTTTTGTCCCACTGTTATGTGGTTTGTATTCCGAATCAATTTCACCATTTTTTTTTTAACTTTGTAAACATGTTTCAAAGCGCATTGCTTCTGATTTAACTATCTTCCTAGGTTTCATCAATAACCTTTTTCGCGTCTTCTACGTTTCTGTTTAATTCGAAAGAAAAAAATCAATCTGAAGTGTGGTATATATAAACCCTTTTTTTATCTCTCGGTCCCTCATCACAGAATAAATAAACACTAAATGAAAATCACTTGAAAGGATTTTCAGAACTATATGCAGTGGCTAAATGCCAAAAACATGGTATTCGGAAAGTTTATACGCTCCAAATAATATAGTATTTTAAATATTACATGCTATTATTGTTGACTAGAAGCAAATATTATTATTATTAAAATAATTCTATGGATATTCATATCAAATGTGACAGACAACAAAGCATATAAAATTAAATATAAAGTATTCATTAGACAAGTACAGCCTTTGAGATAAGGCAGAATTTCTAGGAAAAATCAATCAAGTTTCCAATAGCTTGTGAGACTAGGATGTCAACTAATATACTATCTAGGCTGATACACAGCATCATCATGTCTAAAATATATGAGGATATGTGTTTGTTCATGAGGAACAAGTCGGAAAACCTTTGTAAATTTAACATTTTTCGCTATTTATTCAGATTTTTTACAAATGAGATAATGCGTAGTAGTTTCAATTTAAAAATCTTTGAAGAGTGTTTGTGGCAGGTAAGCAAGGAGCCGGAAAAGAGTTCCACAGGAAAAAACGTGCGAGAGAAGAAACTATTAGAATAGAACTTACGGTTCTATCTAGTTATTTTAACAATAAAAGAGTGAAACATAATTGCCAATCGAGTAGTCCGCTTAAATTCACACGATCGAAATATCAAACAGGAAAGCTCATTAGAACAATTACCGTGTAAATATTTATAGACAAGACAGAGGGAAGCCTCTTTTTTAATATAAATACACTGCAGAGGATTTTACTTCAGAATAATATGTAAATTATTTTACTATAGAAATTGAAATTTTACTAGAGGAATGCTTTTAAATTGAAAAAGTGTTTGATTGTATAGAAGTTAATGCAAGCTTTTCTGAAAGAGTTATTACTTATGTTAAATGATCGCTGGATTTCTGCGGATTTTATCTATTTTCACATGTTTCTGCTCTTTTACCCCGATTACCTGTCTCTTATCGTATTTACCTTATCCCTTCATATTAAATTAAGAGCATCCGTTATCTCACACCCCTTTTCTTCTAATACACATTGCCTGTATCTTCTTATTCTTTCCCTTATCCCTTCCAATCAAACTAAGATTATCTCATTGTTTCCGCTTATACTTTACGTGTATCTTTTTATTCTCTTTCTTATCCCCTCCAATACATCTAAGATTATCCATTATCTATTGCCTTTGCTCTCTTATCCCCACTAATTCTATCAGTTATCTCTTCCAATACAATTATCTATTGAAATATGTCCCATTTTAGTTCTTTACCTTGATCTGTATCTTCTCATTCACTCCCTTATCTTTTTCAACATAACTAAGACAATCCATATATCATGCTTCTGATCTTCACGTCTGTCCCTTTAAATAGCAACTAGGAGCGTCCAGTATCTACCGTCTCTGCTTTTCTTTTATTCTTTGATCTGTGTCATCTCATTCTCTCCCTTACGCTTTCTAATCTTCGTCCCCACCTTGCCCATGTTTTTATCATCGAAATGATATACAAACACGGATTACATGATTATGTGAAATAAAAATAAGGAAGACATATACTTTTCCTCCAATATTATATCTTTTATCTCTCTTTTACTCACTCTCCCAGTAAAGAATCTTAATCCGCGAGGGTAATGCTGTAGAGATCAGAAGCTGACTATGAAGAATTGATGCTAGAGCTGTGAAATCTTTCAGTCAATTATTACAACTCTTCTTATTAATAACTGCATTGTTTCTCTCCAGGTAAACTGACAATTGACCACTCAACAGTAACAAGTAGCGAATTCTCTTAAAGATGGATTAATTTTGGCATCGTGCTGTTAACAAGTACCTGCAGAAAAAAAATTTAACCTCGAATAACATCCTTGCTGATATGATTGCAACGTTTAGAGATGACATACTAATGTTATCAAAAGAGTAAAACTGAGTAGCTGAATTTAGGAGAGGAAGGGCGAGTCTTGAAGATGACCCAAATTTTCGGTGTCGTATGACTGTACCATCGAGGAAACGGTATCTTGTTCAACATGCAGTTATTAATAGGAGACCTGAAATGAATTCATTCAAGATATAACATCTCTAACACCATTCCTTTACATTTCACCTTTAAACTTTTAACCAACTCTCCTACCTGGAAAGAAACAATGCAGTAATTAATGAGAAAACTTGAAATTAATGCATCCAAGATTTCACAGATCTAGCATCACTACTTCATAGTCAGTCTATGAACGTTTCAGCCCCCCCCCTCATATTGCAAATTTTTACATTTTCCTTTCACTACCTGTCTTATTTTATCTTGATAGCATGCCAGCGGGGGTGTCCATCTTGCACTTTCTTTTGTCTTCGTTGCTTCCTCATGCTCTCTCCTCCTTCTCTCTTCTATTTCTCTCTCTCTCTCTCACACACACACACACAATATATATATATATATATATATATATATATATATATATATATATATAAGGTAGGATGTGTGTGTGTGTGTGTGTGTGTGTGTGTAACGAATGCACGGGCCGCAATTTTCGACGGATTTGCACCAAAATTTACATGCACATGCTCCATGTTAGCAGAAAGGCCAAGACCAACTTTGCATTTCCCAACTCCCATCGATAGTGGAAATAATTGATTTTTTCGTGCTTCTATGGCAGTTTTCATGTAGTTTGCACCCATTTTCTACTGGCCAGAGTGAGAGCCTATAGCTGGCTGCCACGTATAGGCAGGAAGATTCTATTGGCCAGCGTGAGAACCAACAGCTGACTGACATGAATGTTAACTAGCATGCAAAAAAAAATCAATAGCTGCATTCGTCACAAGTGGGAAAAATTTAAATCTGCATGGCACTTTACTCCAATTGGCTCATTCGCTTGCTTAAACTCAACGTTGATTCTGATTCTGCAGAACTGGGTTGGGTGTGAAAAAGTATTTGTTGTTAACATTCTTTTTTCATTCGGTTTTTCCAGTTACGAGTCCTTTTTTAAAGCTGATCGTTTTGTGTTCATTTTGTTTAGTTCTTTTTTTCGTAACAGATTTAATGTTTAGTATAGAGCTTAGAAAAATTGCAGTGTGAGATAAGCAAGAAGTAAGGCATGCAGCAACATCAGCACGGCGAAGGTCCACTCCTTTAAAGGCAAGGAAGGGCAAAAATATTTTAAGTCAAGGGATAGCGATTGCTGTATGAGTTATACGATTTTTGAATCAAGCACGGGCAACGCCGTGTATATATATATATATATATATATATATATAGTATATATATATATATATATATATATATATATATATATATTATTTCACTTGGTTTTCTTTCCGTTTCCTTTCCATTACTTCCTACCTTTTACCTTCAAACCATCACCTGTCCTCATATCCGTATAAATTATTCTAGCTCTAAAGAGTTGGGTATCGAGGAGACACTACACTCTGATCATATTTCAAAATGCACAATGAATGTATATACAAGCAGAATAAAATTATAAATATAAATATCTATGAGAGAATAAGATATATACCTTTCTATATATATATATACCTTTCTTTATATCAGAACAAAGTTGGGCAAATAAGCAAACTGGAGCAATTCAGTGTAACACGTTAGGCAAATAAACAAAGTGGAAAAAATTCAATGTAACACGTTTCTTCCTCTCGAAAGACTTTATCGGATGAAGTCCTTCTTGCGCTCGAAACGCGTTAAACAGGAAGTTTTCAACTTTGTCATTCATTTACCTATAATTATCTATATAAATAT